TTTGGGTCTTGCTTCATGTGAGGAGGTCAGCTCTGGGAGGCAGTGGAAGTGAATGCAAGCAGTGCTGTTTCAGCTCCCCAGACCTGGGTGCTCAGGGTTGAGTGCCTGCGCTTCCAGGTGCCGGTGGAGCTATGCAGCCTTCTGTATGTATTGTGTTGCTTGTGGTGGGTTCTGTAGGGTAAAGAGTTGCTGGTAGAAATTCGAAGGGAGAAAAGGTTAGTATGCCAGAAGACTGTGCTATAATAGACACCATTCTAAAGATTTTTGTATTTCATCCAAAATTTTCCGGAAACCAATTTGGAGTAGAACTTTTGTTTGATTTTGATAACCATTTAACTTCTGAAGACTGACTGTTCCTTATTTATACATAGGAAGGAATATTTATTGCATGCAGTTGGCACTGGAGTTTGGGTTCTTAGTAGAGGTTTTGTATAGGAAACTGTTAAATTAAAGCTGTTTGTTTGCCTCTGTAGTATTGTGTTTAGCTGGTGACAGATGCCTCAAAGCTTTCTGGATCAAAGTGAACATTGTGGGGTGCACAGGGGCTTTTGTTGCTTTTGATGTTTGTTTAAATGAATTGTCTTATTTAGAAGAACTAGTGTTTATCCTAGCTAATGAATGAGAACCTGTAGCATCCGTAACTAAATTGTTGGCACCTATGTGTACATCAGTAGGGTGGGGGGTTGTGGAAGGTATGTTAGCATGGCAGGGTGCCCATACCAATGGGAGGCATGGAGAAGATGGCACAGGGAACAGCTTCAACTGAGGCAGCTGAAAGCGGAGACCTTGTGTCTGCACCAGCGATTTGCAGAGGCCTGTTGGGAGATGGAAACTGAGGAGATGGAGCTCTCTGAACATGAAGAGCAGGCATAAGATTTGTCATTATCTTATTTCCCAGCAATCACCCAGTGCAGCTTTTATTCAGTCTGTGAGCATATTCTGTTTGAGGGTTGTTGGTTCTTTTTCATGTGTGTGGTTTTTTGGTTTGTTGTTTTTTTTTTTTGTTTGTTTGTTTGTTTGTTTGTTTTTTTTAAAAACCAAAAAGTTATCAGAAGAACAGGTATTTCAAACTACTGAAAAGTAGCACAAGGCTATCTATGTAACTCAGAATTGTGGTGAGTGCTGAGTTAGTTCTCCTGATTACTTCCACAAATTTGTGCAGCACTGCTGTACAAACAACTTGGAAATCTACTGTACAACTTTGGGGGGATTTGTGCTTTTTCTCCTTCATCTGTGCAATGACATTTCTAGTGTGATTCACAAGTTCAGATTTAGGTTGATGCAATAAGGGTTTTTTAACCCATAATTAAAGACATAAAGGGAAAATAACTACATTATTTCTTCAATTTAAGACTTGGGGGGGTGGGTTTTTTTGGTTTTGGTTGTTTGTTTTTTGGTTTTTTTTGGGGGGGGGGTTGTTTTTTGTTGTTTTTTTTTTTTTGTTTGTTTGTTTTTTTTTTCTTGATTTAGAAGTATTGATAAAATGCTTGTTAAGAGGGCCTGGTAGAACATGCAATCCTGAGATCATGACTTCCTTGCTTTAAAAACAAAAATAAATGACTTCCAAAGCTGTCTGGGAAACTTCATTTTAAAAGTAAACTGGTGTGGGCAGTGATCACAGACACATTTAGTCAGTGGTTTGCATACCTTGTGCTGCTCTAATTCAGTCCTGCTCAACAAAAATGTAATGGGTTAACTTAGGTAGGTATGTACCTGGTCTTCCACATGAGGTCTCAGAAAAGGTGTGAGGAGGCAGCTTGCCAGAAAGAAGGATTAGCTTGGCTGGGCTTTCAGTTACCCTTGGTTCACCTGGGATGGAGGGTGCTCAGCACTTGACAAGGAGCCCCTTGGGCTGTGCTAGCCATCCCACACAAGCTGCTGAGCTGTGGCACTCAGTTTGTTCATAACTAATGAACCTTTGAAGAGGTCAGTCGGATGGGGATAAGCAGGGATTTGTGCTTCAGCCATCACCTTTTCTTACTGAACTTGGCAAAACACTGAAAGGATGCACTTCGATTTGTTTTGTTGAAAGCCAGTATCTCTGCAGACATGTGAGCCAGCTTGTTGGAAGATGCTAATTTGTTCTTTTTAAACTCCTGTGGATACTAGAGCATATTGTGTTCCCAGAACAGGCACTTGTAAGGCTTTCATACTCTTGCTTGAAGTGACTCCTTTGCTGATGCGTAAGGTGTGTGAAACTACTTCAAGACTACCACCAGTTTGCAGTCTGAAAGATGAGTTATTATTCTAGCGACTTGAAGAAACCTTATGGTAGAAGTATGTGTAGTACACAGCGTGCTTGGATGACGTATATGTATTCACCATCACCATATGCTTCATGTGGCTATAGACAGTATGTGAACTGATGTTGATTGTCTAAGTTATTTTGCAGGAGATGATGAGTTTGGTGATGGCAGTGCAAGTTTTCCAGCTGCTGTTTTAATTCTTGTGCAATATTGAATTTCATATTGTGTTACGACTTCATGAGTATCCACAGATATTTTTGGGTACGTAGAAGTGATAGTACAAAAGGTTATCTTAACAGATTTAAGGTGGTAGGGTTTAGCTGATGGTTGGATTTTACTTTTGAAGTTTTTTGGGGGAGGATAAGCCTACAGGACAGGGTCTGATTCTGAGGCACCCTGCTCCTGTGATAAGACATGTCTCAGATTGCTCAAATGCTGTGGTGCAGGACTTATGCCAGACTATCAGGAGAGGGACTCCATAAGCAACAGGCCTGCATCCTGGTGTGCGTGGCTGTCCCATGAGCTGGCTGTGCTGGGCTGCTGGCGGGTACCGCTGTGGGAAGCCTTCCTTGCTGGGCGCTCTCACTCCTCTTGCAGAGGCAGCCAGTTGGAGCACTGCCACCCTGACAGGGCGCCCCAGACCCCTGGGGAGAGGCAGCCACGCCATGGTGCCATGCTCCATTCTGCAGGGAGTGGGAAGGGCAGAGTGGTATCGGCGTGACAGCCGCCCTGGCACCGTGCACTTCTGGCAGAGCTGTGTCCTTGTGGCAGCACTCCTGCTTGCCTTGCTGGCGAAGAGGTCCCGGACCTTGGACTCACACTTAACCCCCTGTTTCCGTGGAGGAGCCACAGCTTGTGAGGCCAGGCCTCCACGGTAAACTCCCCTTTCAGAAACTTCCCTTGCTATGGGGGTTTTGTCTGTTGCCTTTCACATTTACTCCTCACTGTCATGTAAAGGAAAGAGGAAGTTGGTCTTTTTGAGGGTGAAGTATGAAGTAAATGGAGAATGTGATACTCCATCTACACACAAATATTGTGTTGGGAATCTTCAAAAGCACGCATGCTGCTCTTCAGAAAAACTGTGGGAAGCTCAAAGCCTTGGCCTTCTGTATAATAATCACTTGCATAAAACACATGCATATGACATCTGTACATCAGATGTTTGTGTGTAATAATGTATGGAATTTTACTACATGCTGAATGTGTTGCACAGGGAATGAAGTTCAGATCTTTACCATCTTCAAAATGAAGCTTTCTTGTTTGGCTAATGTCTTAAACATGTTTGGGTATTTTTTAAGAAAAAAGAACAGTTATGGTAGTTGGAAGAGCTAATGGGAGAAAAAAGATGAAATGTGTACAAATGTATAGTAACATGCAGTATTTCATATTTACTTGTACTTATGAGGCCAAAGAAATAACTTCTGAATTGTAAATAGTGTGCTGCAGATCTTGACAAGAAAGCTGTACACTGCTGAAAGTGATGGTTTACAACCTGGTCTGGTGTGTGTGGGGATAGGATAGACAGCAGTCGTGGAGGGAGGGCTGTAAAGCCTTTATATCATGAGGTGTGCAGTGAGGCACTGTACTGTGCCGGAGCTGTGCTGGAGCAGGGCAGCAGGCCAGCCTGGGGGATCCAAATGTGAGGGATGAGACCCCCAGCCAGGCTTCAGGTGAGTCTACCGGTACCTACCCCCTGCCCAGCCTGGGATGGGAGCCCCTGCTGCTCTACGCTCCTGGCCCCAGCTGGTCCTGCCGTGTTGTAAGTCCGCTGGTGTTCCAGTGTTGGCATGGGGCTGTACGCTTGCCGCCTTCTGCTTTGAGCCTTAAGGGTGATAAATCTCTTGTACATATGCGGGGCTTGGGCAAAGATGTCTTCATAACTGGAGGGCTTGAAGTGCTGACAGGAGTCCTTCAAACTTGATGTATGTTGTTTCTAATGCGAGGCGAGCTGCTGTGGTCCTGGGAAGATGGATTAGGTTGTGCCTGCTTAAGATTCAGGTCAGTGCCATGCAAATTTTTCATTCAGTATCTGAACAGTGGGTCTTTTAAGAATTTGCCTGACCCACATAGGGCTAGTTTTAAACCCTCTGTAGCTGGATGATAAAGTTCTGTGCTTATTTCAAGCCACTTAATCTTGTCTGCTGTCTCTGCTGCTGCTTCTCACTGAAAGACCAACTTCCTGACTAGCAGCACATTGCTTCTCCACCATTCCTGCGTAGGACAAGCTTTGCTGGTATACAATGAATACAGGGATGGTAATTCCAGTCTGGAAAGCAAGATGGAGTGCTGTGAGGCAAATGTGATTGTAGAAATAGTTTGATGGGACGGGAGGGTAGCTAAAGGTGGTCTTTGTCAAGCAGATGGTCTGTTGTGTTGTGGTAAGTATTTGGTGGCCATCTGGCTGATGATGGGCTGTTCTTGTTCTGCTGTGCCACAGGATTGTAAGCACTTGTCACATACATAGATATATTTAGAGTTTACATTGTGTGTATGTGTACATATCTACTTGTGTATCTAAATACACTTTTGTTGTTCAGCTTTCACAGCAAATACCAGAACACTCTGGCTTGCCTCTGTCTAGACTTCGTTTAGAAATTATTAGTGTTGCAATGAAAATCACTAATTAATATATTGCTACCCTAAATTTCAACTTGTCACAACATTGTCATCAGTTTCTACAAATGATCTCTGTAGCCTAGATTCTAACATGGAAAATCTGCCTATTAATTTTTATCTTCTTTTCTTACAGTAAAAAATGGCATTTCAGAAGGCAGTGAAAGGAACTGCTCTCATTGGAGGAGGTGCCATAGCAACAGTTTTTGGCCTCTCTCAATTTTCTCAGTATAGAAACAAACACGTAAGTATTAATTATGATTTCTGATAAAATATGAAACTTAAAATCTGTTTGAGCGTATGTTAGGCTTATACAGATAGTTTTGTTTGGAAAGGAATGCCAAGAGCCTTCAGCTTGATTTGGTAGGTGCTAATCTGGAGGATGGCATTAATGATATTCCACTGTTGTAGGTCTTTAACCAGTGGGGAAGTGTGATTGTTGTAAATCGTTTTTCATGTTTAAAAAAATGACCTTTGTGTTCTGCTCAGGATTTTACTTCGTTGCAGGACGAGTGGAAAATACCCATTGAAGTGTAAGCACTAAGTAGAGTTTGGATAGTATTTTCAAACTTATATGCTTGAAGTGAAACCAACAGCACTACCTCTGTAAATTTCAGCTTCAAACCAGTCATGGTGCAAGCTCTCATTCAGTTCAGAAAGGTGAAGGCTGTTTGAGGGTAGGATCTGTGCTACAGAAGTCAGTGGCGAGGCTCCTGTTGCTTTTGGTGGGCATCAGCTTCTGTCTAGGTGGGCACAACCAGACACTGGTAAGCTCAAAGCACAGTTCAGTGCTGTCTTCCAGATAACTAAGGCACAGGCGGAATAAATTCCCCAAGCAGTAAAGGATGATGTTGGAGACTTACTGTTAAAGTAAAGTAGTGATAGCAGGAAGAGGTGCAGTAGATTCTATTGATTCTTGCTGTCGCAGAAAACAGGCTTCATTGACATGTCTTCTCCTCACAGTAGACTTGGAGTCACCATGCTCTTTTAGCTTGCTTCTCAATGCAGAAGCCAAGGAGAAATCAGTAAAAGGAACACGAGTTGTGAACTGGTTTTAGGCAGAGCTGGTGTGAATTGACAACTAATCTTTGTCTTAATCAAATAAATCCTCCTTGTTTTAACACACTTGTGCTGTGATTAAGAGTTTTTGTAAATTAACCACATCTGGGCTTAGTAGATGAGTATAAGGGAACATGTCTTCTCTTACGTTAAATGTGGGCTATGAAGACTGCAATCTTGCAGTTGGCCGAAAATATTTGCAATCAGTGTTCTGTAAAATGACCTGATTTGCTTCAATCTGGGTTTGGAAAAAGCTGAGGCCCAAGAAATACCTCTTTCTTCCTTTGATGTTATCAGTCTGAGCAGCTAGGTGAGCAGGTGCTCATTTCATGTGTTTTCTGCTTCTCACCTTAGAAATGTAATCAGTCAGCTCTTCATCTAGACAAGCTGTTACTCTGTGAATTGCTTTAGTTACCACACATTTACTATAAGTTGCCATTCAAATTGGGCAAACTGAGGATAGGAACAGAAGTGGATCTTAATGGTCTAGTTGAAGGTAAAACAGTGGGTAATGAGAAGGAATCTTCACTGAGCTCCATGAAGATGTGTATTATGTCTGTATAAATGATACTGTGAAGCTTCTGGCTGTTTCTATGGGGAGGAGTAACAGCTGCTGAGGTATTGGTAAAGCAAATGAGATGAGTCATGTCTGAGGAACCTAGCTGGAAAGCAGATAAGACAGGATCCTTATGGCTTCAGATAGTGTTGCAGAAAATAAAACTTCACATTTAAAGTGAGCCTTTCGTTGGGCTGCCTGTCTTGCACCTAGCTGATAATACTGCTTCTAACTCTCCTGTGCTGGAGTCTTTAGCACAGGATTTTACAGTCTGGCTTCATTACTATCAGAAATGGCAGAAATTTTAGCACTGCTTAGTAAGGGGAGTTGGAAAGGAAAAGTGAGGTGGATAGCTCACTTGTATATGCAGTACTCCAGAATTCAGGGAATTCCCATTTTTTCTAGGGATTGAATGGCCAATATAAATTTCCAGAGATTGATTAAATCCCAAAGTTTTACAGAAGGAATTTAGTCTCAAAATGAAATAACTGCTTGTCCCCCAATTTGTAAACCTATTGCGTCAGATCAGCCTTCAAAGGATCTGAAAATTTTCAGCATATGTGTAAGCAAATGGATCTGTCAAGTGCACAGCGTGTTGTTTTCATGTTGTACTAACTTGCACATTTCCCACGTGATATCCCTTAAAGCCGCTGCCTTAAACACCTAATATAGGGCAGCAGGTGGAACATAACTGGAGGGATTGACACAAAGGAGGACAGTCCATTTGTCGTGTTGACATATCTAAGCTGTGGGCATGTCCCCCAGCCCAAGTGTCCTCTTTTTAATAATGCCTGCCAATCAAAGATATGCTAGGGCAAAGATCTTGTCTTCCTTTGCCAGAGGAGGATATTGCCCCAAGATGTGCACTAATTGGCTGCACATTGTACAAAAGCTGTTGTTATTTCAAGAACAGAATCCATCACATAATAACACAGAAATAAAATGCTCTTTTTTTTCACCCACATTCGTGTTGCATCACTCAGTGACTGGATGTCTGTGCTGTGGCTAGAATCTTGGAATTAGGGGCACCCAGTTACAGAATAATGACCTTGGCAGGCTAATAATCCTGAACCCACAGGCTGGTTGATCTGTCTGTCTTTGTTTTCCATGTTCACTCAGCTGGCGGTTGATGTTTCTGTGAAACTTGGCTGTCTGAGGTAACTCCAGGGGAGAAGCTGAAGGATGGTAAAGTTCTGGCTCTTGAGAAAGAGTGAAACATTTGGACTTGTTAGTCGAGCATACTAGTGAGTGGTTTGCCTACTAAAAGGGATAATGATTGGTGATTTCCGATGCTGAAATTTAAATTGCCCTTGCTAGGTTTGAGAGTCAGAACCTGCCTGTGAGAACACCACAGTTAGCTGTGTCTGTGTGTAAACAGCTGTGAAGTGTTTACACCTTAGAAATAAAACACTCCATAGATTTGGATCTATCTTGGTTTTCAAGATTTTGACCCCAACTTATTTTTCTGCTCACGCGCATAAATGCTAACATTTTGGAGCATGCTTCTGCAACAGCAATTGAGACTATATAATGGGAGAATACATATCTATGCATGGAATATGTGGGCATACAAGGAGTTTAGTAAATTGCCCTTACCTTGTGCTGGGTTTTTTGAGTTCCTGCTATGCAAGGGAAGATGGGAACACATGGTGACATGACAGAGCTGTTGCTGAATACGGCAGAACTGTTGCTGAATTTAATGCGTAAGCTGATAGATGAATATTACACTTCGGTGTCTTTTATAGTAACCTGATCACTGGGATATTTACTGAAATAATAAGGTGGGGTAGCTTAATGCTATGTGTAAGGGAATAAGTAGGAGTGACACTTAATTCAAGCAAAACCTCTTTCAATCAACACACAGGAGTGGTTCTTTCATATGAAATAACCGTTGCCCTTAAGGAAGCTGGTCAAGTTTTCTGTGCAGCCTTACTGACCTAGGCTGTGGAGCATAAATACATAACTCTGACGAGGCTTTTGGTTAGATTAAAAAGAAGAACTCTTTTCCAGGGAAAAGGAGGCAGCTGGGGAACTCTTCACAGCAGGTAGTGCAGAGGTCTGAGGAAACTAGTCCTTCCTAAACTCTTTTGAGGTAAAGCAGAAGTGCTCAATAGACTTGTCTCTTTTTCTGTGTTCCCACTGTAAATGGGTTTAATCTTAGACTATACAGGAACTGCTGAAATCCATGTATGCTACATTGACTACCAGTCATGAGCTCCTGAAGAGGACTGCATCTGAGATGCAGTTGGACCCCTCTGAGACCACAGGCTATATACATAACCGATTAATTTGGCCTCAAATACTCAGATACCTGGATGGCAAGTGTGACACAGCCAGCCTTTGCTGGCTGTTTCACCAGGGTTTCTAATGCTAATGGTGATGGAGAAGTGGGAAGACCAGTTTCTCTTGTTTCCTGAAGGTGCTGACTGCATTGTTGCATTCTTGCTTTCTGTGCTTTTATTTTAATGCACCAAGCCAAGTGGGCTACTACTTGATGTGGTGCAGGTATTCCTTGGTGTGCCAAGTCTGAACTGGAGACCAGGGATTTTTATTTTCTTTTTCCACTCCCGCCCCCCTGTAATGATTAAGGGAAAAGCAGTGCTTTGTTTTGGGGGTGTAAAAGACCCCTCTCTCTTCCTAAAAAGGTCCACCAGGCAATCCTGCTCTCTTTCTGGTAAGTGCATTGATGGTCAGTAGGAATTGCTCATCAAGGTGAATCCAATCGAGTGTGATAATATGATAATGCATCAGGGCCCGCTTTGGGGGTTTTTAATTACTTTTTTTTATGAATAAGGATGATGAATTTGACTCTGCAAACCTACCTGGAGATTTACATTAGCCAATTAACAAGAATGCTTGCTTATGGATTACTAGATCACTTTATAACTTTATGATTAAATTCAAACTGCCAAACCAAATTTCTTCTCGCTAAGAGTGTAATCAAAACCATTCAAGGAACTCTTGCCTGAGAAATTGTAGATATAAACAGCAATTGCTTATTTCAGTAAACATGCTTGTTCACTGCCAAACTAATCACGTTATTGCAGATGGAATCCCTGTATGCAGCTTTTCTTTGCTCTCACATTTAATTGACAGCAAGATGAATCATATCTATATCAATTCCTGGTGCGTTAATCACTTTGCTTGTATTTCAGCACTAATCTCTATCCTCTTGCTATGCCAGTGACTGGCTGCTTGGGACTCTGGTCTGTGCTTTACTATAAGCCATTTGTTGTAAATAATGTGTTCAAAAATTCAAACAAAAATTACAGTCAAAGCCAAATGATGCTAGCACTTCTTAAACTCTGAATTTTGTTTTTCTTGTGTTCTCTTATCTCCCAGAAGTTGTACATTTTGAAAATGATCGCTTGTTTTGCAGAAGGCAGCATGTCTGGAAATGTAGTGCAAAACTAATTTTGAGATGGGGAGTTTCACTTTCTTAAGGCTCATGAGAGTTGAGAGTATGTAGCTGACTTCATAGGCCAAAACATGTGCAAGGCTAAACTGTGGGTGGTTTTGGTCTTCACAATTTCTTCCTTGTCACTGTTGTCTCCAAGTCACAGGGTGATATTTAGGGAAGCTGGGGCATTGCCATCAGCTGTCTGTCTGTACTTTTGTAATGATGCAGGACTAAAAACCATGCCTAATGCCACAGCTTATCAAGGTAAAAATGGGGACTATGCAGGAAGCTGGGCAGTAGCATTTGCTACCCAGAAAGCTGCAGCATTGTTGCAGTTTTCAGGTATTAAAGGGGAAAAACCTTTCATGTGCTGCTTTCTTGTTGCCTTCCAGCGGGGAGGTCGCACAGTCAGAGGGGTCACCGCAAACTTCTGCAGGCACACAGGGGCCAGAGGGTCTTCTTTACAGCCACTGAGGAGGGAGTGAAGAAAGGAATGGCAGGATCCTCTCAGTGTTTCCCTCCTTGTGTCTGTCGTTCACTGGAAAACTTCATTCTGGAACTGCATTTATGTACGATACTTCAGGGATATACAAGCTTCTACTGTATTTCGAGGGATGTGAAAGGTTTTAGCACTGCTAGAGAGGAGTAGGCTGGTGAGAGAGCAGAGCCAGAGGCAAAAGTAGCTGGGAAAGTACAGAATTCATTGGTCAGAAGAATAACATGGAAGCTGAATTTCTTTGAAGGACCAAAACTTTGTACCTTTTGTGGTGATCTTTGCTAGGTGCCACATATTAGTGTAAACCTGTGAGAGGAAGGGAAACTGTAATTGGGAGGCTCATCAAGATTCACCTCTGCTTCGCTTTGACTCAACCTCTCTGCTGTCTGTGTGTGTCTTGTAACTTCTTGAACTCCTGGGGCTGGCAGCGTGTCTCTCTCTATTTGAGGGTTGTGGTGGGTTTAAACAAGCTTCTAATTAGGAGACCTTTCATTAGTAATTTGTAGTCAGGGACTAAGCCTGGTTGAGTGCTTGGTGTGGCTGCTTATGCGCCTGGAGGTGAGCCTGTGCCCAGGCACCTTCTGGGCTGGGCTCCAGGGCTGCTTGGGCTCAGGAGACCCCAGTGGGACTGCAAGCACCATGACATGGAAAAGTCAGTGGTGTGGTATTAGAGCTTGGGTCATAATTTACCAAACTTTGGTTGTTCTACATCTGAAGTTTTGCTGTTTTCTGGGAAGGCATCAATCCTTAATACAAAGTGAAGCACTCTCTCTAGTCCAGCTTTTCTATTGATTGAATTGTAACACACGCGCAGTGAAAGTGGTTGCTGCTATCCGAAGTAATTTACATGAGCTACTTATGTTATAGTCAATATAATCCATGATTACAGGATGAACTTGAACATTAATTATCTTTTGAGTATGCATTTCCTGTAGACATGACTACTAGTTATTAGACTTTATTTTCAGTTGTATAGCAGTGATAGCAACATTGAGAAGGAATGTGTTTCAGTCATAATACTGCTGAAGAATGAGGAAATAATTTTAAACAAAAATATTTAGGTTGCATGCACCATACAGGCTGAACTCAGGCTTCTTGTGTGTGGCTGGACTGGCTGTTAATTTACAGTGGATGTGTTGCAAGAAGTGCTTTTACCTTTCCCTCACAAGGTCTGCTGACAGAGCTGTGTGACAACCAGTGAATTGGTTGCTAAAGAGGAACCGCACTGCTTGGGTAGCTGCTACCAGGACCTGTTCAGCTGTGCGTGTGAACAGATGGAGGCAAGCAACTGCATTACCTTTTGTCAGTCGAGCTGTTTTCATACAGCAGGTGTATATTCCCTCCCCATTGCACATGCCAGGGAAGGTGGCTGGAGTTCCTAAAACCTGGAGGTGGTGAATTATCTTAGCAGAGAGCTTTTCATCACCACAGTGATCTGGGAGTGTCTCTCTGGGAGACAGAACATGTGGGCCAAGCAACAGTAAAGCACTGAAGCAGTGCCTGTGCTGGTGTGTTTGCAGCGTGGGACTGAGCTTAGGGGCTGCTCCATGGCAATTGTAATTCACTGTTAACCATGCAATAGGCAATAAAGTTATAGAAATAACTGAACAACTTCCCTAAGGAATGCTTGGAAATAAAACTTAATTGAGAGAGCTTGCATGTTGTAAGCAGTGTATGGAAAGAGATTAGACAAAGAGATTGTGTTAGATGATAGTAAGAAAGTACTATTTTGTTTTGTCATTCGAATTTGTGTAAGTTTACTCTTTCTTCTCTAGGAGATGTGGACACAAGCTATTTTAAATCAGTTAAGCCTGCCATTTGTCCTAAAGACTGGATCATTCTCAGACCTTACACTATAGGGTTGAAACAGGTTTTTCTTATGTTGAAAGTGTATATAATTTTCAGGAAACTCTGAAAACATTGATTCTTAATTTCCCATTTGTTTATTTTGATCCATTCTGAATTGGACAGTTAGCTTTTCCATCCTGATCTGGGTAGTGTTGGCATTTGTTTCCACATATGTATTAAAAATTGGCAGTGGTTAAAACAGCTCCTTTGGAAGTGCTAGGTACTAATAAAAGCACTCCTCTCAATTAAACAAAATTCAGAGCACCAAGATCTGGTTATTTCTGAAAGAGCCGGCTCAAGTCATGGGGCGTCTGCTGCTGAGCTGGGAAGTGCTGCAGGCATTTGGCTTGGTGGCTGGTACCTCGACTGCTCTTCTTAGACTGTAAATGTCAGTGCTTTGTCTGCCAGGTGCACTTATGTACAAGTGATTAGACTGTTGTGGAAAAGATCTGTCCTTTGGGTCTTAAAAAATAGTGATGAGGGAAATTCACTGTCTGGTTTTGTGCAGAATGAGGGACAGTGGTGAATGAGGAAAACCTTGGGAGGAAAAGAGCTGGAACAGAAAGCAAGGCTAGAGCTGAAAGCAAAGAGCCAGTAAGCATGACTTTTGTGGTCTTGAACCATATTTAACTGTCTGAGTAACTCGGATATCTGCCTGCAGCCCATTGTAATTTAAGATTAGTGTGATGAATATGAACCTACAGTGATGGTGCTTGTAACACAGGTTAAGAAATATATGATCATTAATAGGTGCTCAGGATTCCTGTGACTGTAAAGGTTTTCAGAATACACTTTAAATTCATGTTAACAGGAGACAGCCTTCAGAAACTGGTTAAAACCTTAAAATTGAAACCATAGTCCATGTTAGTTGGCTGAGCAAGCATGGCAGTCTTTCTCACCACCGTCATTAAATGGAGAGCAGCGGTGGCTCCTGGAGTATCAGGCAGAGGACTAGAGAGAATATCAAAGCCATTCCAGTAAAATCTGAACTTCTCTGGAAACTGCCATGTTATTAAGATTTGTCACTTTAAAGACAAGTTGTATTTTACCATGCTGTAGGACATAAATTGCTTTGCTTAGAAGCTTTTCAAATAGTGTTTCTTTTGGTGTTTCAATAATACTGTATTTCACAATAAACCACATTGTCTTGTGAACCTGGTCAAATTTGAGCTTAGATTAATGCCACTGTACAAGTAATCAATTTTAAAATGCAAAATATACATTTATCTTTAAGTCCATTGCTTTGATGGATTTTTTTCGGTAGTGAGTTGAGAGCCTAACCATGCGTCTGTTTATTAAACTGCTTCCTGAGCATCCTGTAACATTTGGCATAGCAGAAGACAGTTCCTAGAAATAATTAATATAGGTATTTGCCCTTGACTACAGCTCTGTATTGAAGTAAGCAAGATGAAGTCAACGTGTGCTAACGCTGTATGGGTTTAGTACTGTTTGTTGCTCCATAATGTTTCAGTATAATATTATTAAATACAGGTAAAGCAACTGGGAATATTTATAACCTTTATGGTTATAGAAAATGCTGTGATTTGGTTCTGTGTGTGTATGTGTACATGTGTGTGTGTATACAGAATAAATACAGATCCTCATGTGTGGTTTTAATCTTGGTAGGGTACCTTTGTGAATGTTCAGGCTGCAGAAGCTATGCCTGCTCCAATGAAGAGTCATCTCCCCACAAGAGAGCAACAAATTTTGACACTGCAGACCACAAGTGAATTTGATATCCTTGTTATAGGTGGAGGAGCAACAGGATGTGGCTGTGCTTTAGATGCAGTCACTAGAGGTAAGGCTTGAAAATGTAGTTGTATTCTTATTCTTGGATTACATGGTTTGAAACAAGTTTATCAGATTGGCTTTTCAGAAATACTCAGAGGTAGAGAAGGTGTACTCTGAATGCCTGCTTATAAACAGTCTTCTCTGCTCAGAAGCTAAAATGAACTTGGAAGAAAAAAATAACTGCATTTTCATCAGGGTCTTTTGTTGTCTAGGTGTTTGTATGCAATTGTCTAACATACTGGGTGCCCTTGGATGGTTTCTCATTCTGTGTTGCTCCTTGTTTAGTGCGTTTATAGTCACATTTCACTTGTTTGTACAAGAAAAAATTTGCAGCGAAGAGAATACAAGACTTGCACAGTGCTTTTAGCAACTGTTTTTAAAGGGCCAAGCATGATTTCTAGATAAGGCAAAGTGGCTCTCCAGCTTCCCCCTTTTGGGGGATTAGCTGTGTAACTGGTATTAGAAGCAGCAGAATTGATGTTAACTTTACATGTAGCCTTAACTTAGGGAAGGCTCAAGGTGAAATGAGCTAATGCTTTTTGCCTGACTTTTGCAGGAAGATGAGAACGTGTGTGGTGACAGTCAGTTGTTGCAACATCTGCACATCTACTGTGCCCTGTAGCTTGTGCAGTAGGTTGAACATGTGAAAAGCTCTGTCCAAGGGTTGAAAAAGCAGGACACTAATGCCCACTCTGTCTGGGTCATCCACCTCACACAGTAACTTTGAAACTGGCCAGCAGATTCAACTAGATCTGACAGTTTTCAAAAAGAATAAGTAATTCCACAAGTTTTAATGAAAATAGATCTTCAGATACAGAGAGGAGCATGCATGGGTACTGAGGATGTAGCATCAACTCCTGTTCTACTAAAATGCTGTATTCCACCAGAGTAACGTATTTTTATCCAAAAAGCAATGTAAAAGATTTTTTGAGAAACGCTTGTCTGGGAATGTGCCAATACAATGAGCCAGTGAGAGAGAGAACCAACTTTCTTTAGTTTCTATGTTTGTAGATCTTGTTTGTGTTTTTTGAACTAAAATTGAAAAACAAAAATACAGTGTAAAATATAGTAGATAGTCATAAAATTCTTCAGTTTTTTTTAACCTGTAGATATACCTCAGAAATAAGAAGCAAAATCTAACACCAGGTGTGTTCTGTAGTTCGATTTGGAAAATACTTGTCCAAAAGGCGTGACCATTTTGAGATAGGTAAAGGAAGGTGTGCACTATTGGCAGGGTAAACAACCAGATTTGAGTTTGTACTTGTTTTTTTTCCCTGTGTATTATTAAATATAACTTGGGATCTTATCAATTCTGCCTCAGCTATATTGTGGAAGATGCAGCTGTAAAGCATACAGAAGTTATTATAGTTAGTCTGTGTTTATCCTTTTACTAGATATTCTGATTATATCAGTAGATTTCTGAAGTGTGAAATATTCATAGGCATTTGGTTAATGAATTGTGTATTGTTGCTGTTCATTCATGGAACTTGCTCTTTTACTATGTTTGCTTCACTTAACAAATTTTGCTTTTCATGTATTTGATATGTCTTTGCCAAATTATTTCTGATTGTATCCATTAATCTTCACTCACATTTGACAAAAATAAATTACTCTGAACTTCGGAAGTTACCGGTAATAATTAGATTTTTTTTTTTTAAGGACATAAGTTTTGGGCCACCAAAAGATATGAAAATGTGAGTTTACCAATCAGTAACATGCAGCATCCCTCAAGGGGGGTGAAGGAAAGACCCAGGGGATAACTTGTAGAGCAGATGATGCTCCCCTTCTTGGGTATTTATTGTTGCATTGTGGCTGTTTGGTAGCAGTATCACTGAATTTAATACACTTTTTTTTGCTTGTCTGCTTAACTTGAAAATTCTGCCAGTGATAGAGGGAATCTGTTATCCAACTTATGTAACACAGATTGTCCTTCCACATGTTTTTTAAGTGAAAGATTGTCATGTGCTTATCCTGGGGTGTTTCTGTTGATTTGGTTTACTTATGTTGGATATTGGAAGTCAGTAGAGGATGTCTTGTAGTTATGTGCCAAAATGTGGCTGTTGTCTGTGTCTTATCATTAAAAGGCATCTGTTAATCATCTCTTTCCTGCCACTCATCCCTTGACTGAACTTCCGTCACATAACCTGATGTCAGTTTCCTTCACAAAGAGGATGCCAGCACTTACAGTATCGGGGTATATGGTTTCATAGCGATTTCTGTATAAAGAAGCATGCCTTCACCCGTGAAAGATTTTTTCTGGCCTTCAGGGTGACTGGGAACATGATGTATGCAACAAACATGCCAGCCGCATTCCAAGTGTTTGATGGAATAAACATTGTATTGTTTGGTTATGAAGCACTTCGTGTTCTGGATTTATGTGAACGTCTGTGAGCCATGTGTTGCCCCCTGCTTGTGCTGGTCAAACTGCTAGTGCCGGCTGGTGCCAGAGAATATGCTTCCACTGTTTTGAGTAAATGTTTTTCTGAAATACTTGGTGGTATCTTGCAACTCATGTTTTGTGTATGTGTGCCCTTTGCATATGTAATGCTTAAAAGGAGGATGTCTGTGTGCTATATGAGCACTGTAGTATCTGCATAGTAAACTGTAGATGAACTTACTTCTACATTTTGCTACACTTCCTGGGTAAGCTACTATATTTCATATTAAGCCTTATCAAACTATTTCATGTGTATGGCAGAATTCTATGTATGTGGGCATTATGTTCCTTCCACTGAGCTTTCTCTCAGTGGTGAGCATGCCCGTGAGCGGCACCCCTTTGGTTTTGGGTATCTTTAGCAGTCTGTAAGTAAGGAGGCAAGGATGACAGTTGCTGCCTCCCTGGTACAACATTTAAGTTGTTAGTGTGACAGGTTTAGAGCTCTCTGCTACAAAGAGTTAAAAGTATTAATGAAAATATTCTGTTCCTGCCGTGAATATGAACTATAATTTGCTTGAGGGAGCATGGCCCCTATAATGTACTGTAATGCCTTTCTATTGTGAAATATCCAGGTTTTAATGTGCTTCTGTTTAAGTTCTGTTTTGACTTTTCCCTTAGGAAGGAAGCTGAAATTTTTCATTACAATATAGACAGTGCACTACACTTTGAATACAAATTTATCCATGTACAGAGTAATTTTTCTTGTGATTGTCTCTACCCTAGAGAAGTGTCTTTAATGAATTACATACAAATTGTGTAATTTAAGAAGTTAATTTGGTTTTCTGGTAACACAGGACTAAAAACAGCCCTTCTAGAAAGAGATGATTTCTCATCAGGGACAAGCAGCAGGAGTACTAAATTGATCCATGGTGGAGTGAGATATCTTCAGAAGGCCATCATGAAGTTGGATTTCGAGCAGGTGATTGTTTGTGCTGGTTGTTAAGCAAGAATTGCCAGTAGATACTTTCCCTATCCCAATTACATCCAAGTCTCCTTTTTATTTTTTTAATACTTGACTGTTGTATTCTCCAGCCACCGTACATAGAAAGTGTTTTCTCCAGTTGAGCTTTCCAGACTAGGGAAACTGGTGCTGCTACCTTTAGCTAAATTGTTTTATGGGCAATCTAATTGCCATAGGTTGTAGACTGTGTATAGTTGGGGAAGGAAGGCAGAGACAGGGCTGATTTCAGAATAAAAGCAGCATCCTACCTGTCATGATCAGAATCTGGGGGAGTGAGTGGTTGCCCTGTTTATTTTGGAATGGGTAAGGAAAATATGGTAAATGAGCGATTTATTTTGGAATGGGGAAAAAAAGTAGGTAAATGAGTGATTATATATAAATGCTTTTATGTATTCTTGTGGAAGCATGATATTCTTGTTTTGATAAATTGATTGATCTCCTCATTGAAACCTCTCTGACCTAAAGTATGTTTTGATGGTTATAATATTGCTACAGAAATAGCGACTTGTTAGGGAAAAATATATAAAACATGGAGCTACCCAGCTACAGAAATTAACCTTGTTTTTGCTGAAGAATAACTTCATATTGATTCATATTGATTGATTTGGAGAAGAACAGTTCTGTATTTGCAACTCAGTGTTAGTATGAGATTTAACTGTGGGAATGGCCCAGAATATCTACTCTGGGACCAGTTCTAGTCCTGCCCACAGTTAGGAGTAACACGGCTTAATGCGCTTTACGTTCAGATGAAAAATTACTCTGCTGACCTGCCAAAATATCAAAATAAAACTAGTGAAACTTGATTTTCTTGGGAAACATTTTCATTAACTTTTGAATTTTTCATCAAATCTCAGTGTGATTTTGAAAGAACAGTAAGGATTGTGTGAGTTCTTTGCTTTGATAAACAGTTTCTTATTAAATGTTGCACATGGAAACAAAACTGAGTAAGTATCATGGGGTTTGCATATACACTTGTGTTTTTCAGTACAAGATGGTGAAAGAAGCACTTGAAGAGCGTGCAAATCTGCTTGAAATAGCTCCTCACCTATCAGCTCCTTTGCCAATAATGCTACCTGTTTACAAGTAAGCTCTGCTGTAATACCACTCCTTTACTGTTGCTTTTCATAAGCAAGCAATTTCCCTGGAGAAGTTTCTGGGTGCCTCTTTCCAAGCATGTCTTTAAACCTGTTACAAGCTTTGTCCTTCAGGGAGTGAGATGTTGCCATATTGTAGAAGCATGAAATTTCCTTACGGAACCAAGCAGCTATCCCTGCTGCCTAGTAATCCATCTTGGACTTGAGCTGTTTGCTGCATTTCTGCCACCCTGCAGGGAGGGGAGGGGGATTTGTAGGTGGAACAAACTCTCATTCCCAGGATGTTTTTTGCTGTTCTTTCTAGTACATCCTTGTCTTCAACACAGGCTGTCTTAGTGTTCTTAGTAATGTGTTGTTTAGTTCATGAAACCACCAGTGCTCCATGCAGTAATTGTGTGCCCTCGCCTTCCACAGCACATGACAGTTGGATGTTGAGAGAACAGTTTCCTTCTTCTACACAAAAGAGACGTTAAGTGATTTGGGTTAGGTTTTCAGATCTGTAAGAACAGTTACTCACTGTAATAGGCTACTTGGAGCAGTGAGTTTTTGCCGAATGATCTTAGTGTATGGCTTTATTCCTGTCTTTGTAGAGGAGCTCATAATAGCTGGAGCTCATGTCAGTCAGCAGTTGACTGCATTTATTTGGTCGTGTTTGTGCAGGAGACATTAGCCAAGATGTGCATTTAAGGAACCTCTTCAGCTTGCATGCACAGCAAGGGTCTTCCCTTGACACATAGCTTTAATGCCTCACCTTACACTGAAGTACATAAAGCTAGTTTGTGATCATAATTCTAGGATAAATAAAGCCTTGAATCTGCTTGACTAACTACAGAGAATAGATCAGTTGAAACACTAGCAAACAATACATAAGTTCTTGCATATTTACATGCTACTGCAATACTATGAACTTTTATGATGGTACAAAGCAAAACTAGTGTAATACAACATACTGTGTTACTTAACATGTTCTATATCATAACAAGTGTGTGCATGCATTTTATTTCACTTCATGGGAAATTTTTTCTTTTGTTGTTTCCTACAGGTGGTGGCAGTTGCCATACTACTGGTTTGGAATAAAATTATATGACCTTGTAGCAGGAAGTCAGTGTCTGAAAAGTAGTTATGTCCTTAGCAAGTCAAGAGCCTTAGAGCATTTCCCAATGCTACGCAAAGATGAGCTTGTTGGAGCTATTGTCTACTATGACGGTATGTTGCCCTTTTGTACTTTCATTATTACATTGCTCTGTGTTTTGAGGGGGGAGAAACAGAAGTATGCAGCTGTAGATCACATATGTTGACTTCTTAAAGGGAAGAACAACGTTCCTCTCATAAGCATTGATTTGGTAGATAAATTGGTGGGTTGTTGTTTTTTTTTTTTTTTTTTTTTTTTTTTTTTCTTTAAGTAACTTACTGGATGTAGGAGAAAATATATTAGCTTTCTTGGCTGTTAAGTACAGTGATATGCGAAAGTATTCTAGCGTTCTGGTGGTTCCCCACAACTTTGCAGCTGTGCATGATTTTGCTGTACACTTCTCAGATTGTACACTTCAAAGGTATCACAAGACAAGAAAATGAGATCATTCCTGTAATGTTAAATGGTTTGCTGTAGCACTTCCACTGTGCAAATAACTCCAAACCTGTCAGGAGGATGTGGCTGCTGGCTGTGGTTCTTGGCTGCACTGGATGGAGGATCAATTAATTTTTTGTATCACCAGTAGAATTGGTTGCTCCGCAAAGGCAGAATTCAAAGTAATTATAATCAAATACTAGAGATTGTTTTAAGACATAAATATTTTCTGTGAAAACCCTTTTAAATAAAGGGTTATAAATTCATAAGAGGAAAAATGCCTCCTGCTTGAGTTATTTAATCTATTGTATCTGCTAGTTTTAGGTATGTTTGGATTTAACACTTATACAAATTCAATGTCTGAGTGGCAGAAAAAAAAGATGCTTTCTGCAAGTCTTTTGGTGTTCATTCAAAATAGAATGATGATTTAATAGAACTCATTGCCATCATCTAGAAATAGCAATTTTCATGTTTGAAAGTGTTCATGTTTTCACATTTGGAAAGAGTAAAAAAAAATGCAAGAATCAGGAAGCCTTTTTGCCTTGTTCTGTGAAGTAAGTCTGGTCATCAGTCCCTGGTGTAGCTGTGTGGCAACAGATGCTGCAGGGGATCTGCCCAGCAAAGAGTTGAACTCTATCTCTTCAGACTTTGCAGAGACATGAGGCATTCTGAAACGAAATTGGAGAAGGTCTAGTTGGCTAGTTTGACAGAAACCTTGCTTCTCTGGAATATTAGCGCTTGTGTTGATGTAGAGGTGTCTTGAGCTTTATCCAAACTGCTTTAACTTTTTATAAGAGCAAGTAGTGACAGGGTGTTGTGGTTTATTGACTTTAAACTGACAGAGGAGAGATGCAGATTAGGTATTATGAAGAAGCTCTTTACTATGACAGTGGTGAGGCAGTAGCACGGGTTGCCTAGAGAAGCTGTGGCTGCTGTGCTCCACCCCTGGCAGTGTTCAAGGCCATGTTGGACAGGGCTTTGAACAACCTGATCTAGTGGAAGGTGTCTGTGCCCATGGCAGGGGGGGGAGCATGGTGATCTTTAACCCAAACCATTCTGTGATTCCGTGATCTCAGTATGTTCTAATGTCATGCAAGTTAATATCCCCAGACAGCATTTAAAAAGCTCTGAACTTGCACACATTTTAAATGTTGGAAAGTTCACTGCTGAAGCTGGAGTACTAGGGTACATGATCATAATTGCTTTCTTGCTGCACTTGGTCGTGTTGGCCTATCTAGCACAGGGACTATCTTTACTGCAGACTGACACTCTGTTTCACAATGTGTTTTTAATTGGACTGGTATTCCTCCTTCTCCAGTCCTCTTCCACTTGCCTTCCAAGACAGAAAATTTGGTAAAACTTTCTTGGTAATGGGGCCAGCTAGGTAATAACAAAATGTCAAATGTGTTCAGGATGGGGCAAAAAACCATGGATTTCTTGAAGGCTTGGAGGAGCTCTCCAAAGAATAAACAGCTTAAATACTGATTTGCTTCAGTAGTGCTACAGTTGTAGTTAGTTTTTACCTTGAGATGTAGTTTCTGACCTTTTGGCAGGCAGAAATGTCTTCACACAAAATTGACTGTAAAGGTAGTTCTTTTCCCTTTTTAGAACTGCATTTACACTATTCATCAGCTTATCAATAGGGGCTTTTGTACTGGGAAGAAGTAGGAGGGACTCTCGACACACACTGGACTCGGTATTTATAAGACTTCTGGCAAAAGCATATGTTGATAATTTCAAGTTGTCTCATACAAAGCCCAGCAGAATGGAAAAAAAAAAAATTATATGTATGTGTGGGATCAGATATGTATAGGTTCTTGTTTGGAAGTAGGATGAGATTTAAAGGATGGACTTGTTTTTTACTTATCTCTGATGGAGAGTGCATGTTCTCTACCTTATTTTTAAGGAAATAAAAGGTTATTTAGAAGCAAAATTTGGTATGGATTTATGTGGTATTTTTTATATACTGTTGCAAGAGCTGCTGTAAATAGCATACAGAGAAGTAATTCAGATTTATTTTTTCATTAACATAACTATCAAACATAACTTAAAACAGTCTAAGGGATCCCAAGAGCATGCAAGAACGAAGTGGTTCTCTTAACTGTAATTACACTTCCCATAAGAGCACTATGACTTGAAATCTATTTATAATCTATTGAAGTTTTTTCTGATTAAATAAATAGTTTGTATGTATTGTAGCTATTTTCTACCCCAGTATTCCAAAGATATGCATTTACAAGATAGTCTTAAAATTAGTCTTTAAGTTTCTTGGACCAATAATTATTTTAAACAGTGTTGGAATAAATCTAAAAATTCAGCACCAATATAGCATGTGGTCTTTTAGTGGAAAACGTCTGTACAGTGATACAGTGCAGAGTTCTACATGCCTGAGGGATATCTGATGGGTTTGTTGCCTTCCCAAGGAGTAAGAAACAAACCTGCAAGCTGCATATTGTAAACCAAGTGTAAAATAGATGGAAAAAAAAAGGGGGAGGAGAGAAAAAAGGAAATGTACCATTTATTGAAGAGTAGTTTAATGGAGAAAGACGACTGTGTAATTGCTCTGTTCATTCATACAAGTTTCATGAAATTGAGTAAAGACTCTTGATGATTCTTCCTCAGAGGAAGAGCTGCAATGCTAGGAGGACTGTCGTGCAAATTTGATGAGAGAATGAAAAATAGACTTAAAGCTTTGCTGACACTGAAACTACTTGTTCGTGCTAGGATAGCTGGACTTACTTTGTTTTCCTTAGAAGACTACAACTTAGTTATCCACGTTCTGATGAGAAGGTAAAGAAATGGTAATTTGCAGCAAGAAAAATAAAAAATCTCTCAAAGCTCCATCAACCCTCAATTTCCTAGGATAAAGTGCTACTGAAGGACTAAAATATCATATTTGTGAGTTTATAATATGCATTTGGGTGCTTCGAGGCTGAACCTAATCCAGAATAAGAACTTTCCAACTACAATGTTAAATCAATTCTTACCTCGCCCCATCTTGGAACTAACTGAGGAATGGAGGACAAAAGGAAAAGGAAATTGAACTTCAAGTAGAGAAGGGAATTGTAAGATTGAATTAAACTTTCAGAAGGATTAGTCATAAAATAGAGCATTAAATAATGGTGAAAAAAGTCTTCAAGCAGGTTATATCTTTATTTTCTCTGTTCATCCCTTCTCTGTTTTCTCTAAATAAGTAAATTGGCCCTTTTAAGAATGAAACGTCCCAACTCATCTGTATGTAGTTTTATCTTGCTTTCTTGCTTTTCTTTATTCCTGTTTCTACTATATTTTCTTTGTATCTGTAGTTCCTAACATCACTTTCTAGCAGTGTCTCACTGTTGGGCATGCTGATCACCACCACCAAAAGGAAGAATTAAAAACATTCATTATTTCAGTTACTTCTTAATTTGATAAAATCACCTGTCCAGTTATGACTTACTGGTGGCAATGTTCTTTTGCAGAGGAAAGATCAGCTCTTTGCTTTGGTTTGTAATTGTTGATCAAACTAGTGGCGTGTCAATCTATTATTTGTGAATATATTTTGTTCTGAAATGTGCTGTGGTCTTAATTACATTTTAAAAACTGTTTATACAGGGTAAAAAAAAAAAAAAAAAGGTACATTATAAATGTTGGAAGTACCAGCACTAGCAAATCACAGGCTTTACCAGGGGCTATTCTTGCTCTGTCTCAGCATTGGGAAACTAAAGCATATGTTGGATGTTAGCCTGGGTGTACACAATGTGTCCTATTTATTCAAGGTTTCCTTTGAAGCTACAACTTACAAGTTTGTTTCTTAGGGGTACATGTCAGACTTCATTTAGCATTTGTTGGTATTAGGATACTCCTGAATAGCAAAAAGGCAACATTTTGGGGGAAGAATGCGGCTGCTATCTGAGCAGTGATCTGTCAGTTCCACTTAGGTAGCTCAAGGAGAACTGGAGAAGAGGCACTGCGGAGACGCTGGGCTGAGAGCTCAAGATCATAGGCAGAATTATTTTAAAGCACTTTAAATGGAAGAATTAATCTCCATTTAAATTATATATAGCTCATGATGTTAAGAACTAGGAAAAACATTAAAACAGAGATCCAACTGGCCAGAATATTTCGAGTTAAAGCATTTAGAAATTCTAAGTGGTGCAGTTCTTTTTAAGATGCATTATTTTTCTATCTCTAGGTGCTTGCAGACTTTGTTAATGCATTTTGCCTTGTAAGATGAGCCTTTAGGTGTGTAAGGAAGATTTGTCTTCTGGAATAAGTCATGAATTTGAGATATTTAGGGCTTTGTTGACCCTGCTCTTTGAATTTAATGCTATCTTACAAAAGCAGGAATTAACATATACTACTTCTGTGGCTGTTTTACAACATCAAGGTATTTTATTGTTTAATGTCTTGTTCTACAGCTTTCCAGTATGCTTGCTGAGGTGTAAGTAATTGTTCTTTATATATTGCATTCTCTGTATTTTTGTATATATTCTCTCCTGAAATATTTTAATATGGAGGTTATTTAATGGTAGAAAAAGAAGCTTTGGCAGAGGATTTAGCTTTTCTTGTTTACAGCAAACCCCATGAGAAATCCTTCCCAGGCACACATGTACGCACACAGACACACATACACACAAAAATCAATGCAAAAGAGTAG